CAGGCTTGGGTTCACCTCTAAATGTGATGATAACTCAGCTCTACAATCTAACGACAGATCATAATGTTCAAATTGTGGTGAAAACCACAAATCCAATTTTTGGGAATGTAAGACTCGCAAAGCGATCCTACAATCTCGTTCTAACCGACAGGTAGGAAGCGCTCCACGTTTCCGACCAGGTACAAATTCCTCTGCTGTTAACAACGGTCAGCGAGGAACAAATTCTACATTCGTACCCGTAGGTACAAATATCACCCCTGCTTCAAATGTTTCATCTGTACCTACTCCCCTCGCTGCTAACAATGTTCAGCGAGTTAATGGAGCTACCTATGCTGCTATTGCAGCGGGTAGAAATCAAAATACTAACCAACGTTCTAACGGAAATTTTGACAATTTTGACTTAGGAAGCATTACTGCTCCTAAAATGGAATTTTTACAGAATTCATTAATTGACATGATTTCTGATATGCTTAAATCTAACTCCATGTTTGATGCTATTCAAACTGGAGTAAAATTTGCTAATAATATTGTCATGACTTTAAAATTCAGTAATGGATTTTAAAGCATTAAACATTTTAAATTGGAATGCTCGATCTCTTAAAGATAATGAAGACGAGCTATTTAATTTTTTGAGAGTTCATAACGTGCATATTGCCGTTATAACTAAAACGTTCCTTAAACCTGACCATAAGGTTAAGAAGGACGCAAATTACTTGATTTATAGAAATGATCGTCTTGATGGACCCTGTGGTGGCGTTGCCATCATTATTCAAAGACGAATCAAACATAAAATTATTTCTTCATTTGAAACCAAAGTTTTTGAAACTTTGGGAGTTTCTGTTGAAACAAAATTTGGACAACTTACGTTTATAGCTGCCTATTTGCCATTCCAATGCGTAGGCCAGCAAAAGAATTTTCTCAAGGGTGACCTCCAGAAACTTACCCGTCATAGGTCTAAATTCTTCATTGTTGGTGATTTTAATGCAAAACACCGCTCATGGAATAATGCTCAAAGCAATTCCAATGGTAATATTCTGTTTGATGATTGTTCTGCAGGTTATTACACTATTCAATATCCAAACAGCCCAACATGCTTTTCTTCTGCAAGAAATCCCTCAACTATTGATTTGGTCTTAACTGATTCATGTCATCTTTGTAGCCAATTGGTTACCCATGCTGACTTCGGTTCTGATCACCTTCCAGTAACTTTTGAAATATCCCAAGAAATAATTTCTAATCCCAACAGCTTTACTTTCAATTACCATAGGGCTGATTGGGAGCAATATCGAACATTTATGGAATATAACTTCGATCCAAACATTCCTTTGCAAACCAAAGATGAAATTAATTATGCTCTTGAATCTCTGACTACTTCTATAGTTGAAGCAAGAGCTGCCTCAGTACCAAAATGCGAGGTTAAATTCGATTCAATTATAATAGACGATGATCTTCAGCTCTTGATCCGTCTTAAAAATGTCCGTAGGAGACAATTTCAAAGAACACGCGATCCTGCCATGAAAGTTATCTGGCGGGATTTGCAAAAACAAATTAAAAAGCGATTCTCTGCCCTGAGGAACAAAACTTTTGAAAATAATGTTTCTAAATTAGACCCGAGTTCCAAACCCTTTTGGAAACTCACAAAAATTTTGAAAAAACCTCAAAAGCCAATTCCAGCGCTTAAAGAAGGTGGTAAAATTTTGATCACAAATTTGGAAAAAGCTCAGAAACTTGCTGAGCAATTCGAGAATTCCCATAATTTCAGTTTGGGTCTTACTAGTCCTATTGAGAATCAGGTTGCTCGGGATTTTCGGAATATTTTCTCTCGGGAAAATATTTTTGATGATTCCTGGGGGACTGATTTAGACGAAGTAAGGTCTATAACTAAAAAAATTCAAAATATGAAAGCTCCAGGTGATGATGGAATTTTCTATATCCTCATCAAAAAACTCCCAGAGAGTACCTTGTCTTTCCTGGTAAAATTATTTAACAGATGTTTCCATTTGGCATACTTTCCTGATAAATGGAAAAATGCAAAAGTTGTTCCAATTTTGAAGCCGGATAAAAATCCAGCTGAAGCTTCTAGCTACCCTCCAATAAGTTTGCTTTCTTCAATAAGTAAACTTTTTTAAAAAATAATTTTGAATAGAATGATGCTTCACATCAATACGAACTCAATTTTTGCAGATGAGCAGTTTGGATTTCGCCATGGGCATTCAACTACTCATCAACTCTTGAGAGTAACCAATTTAATTCGTTCAAACAAATCTGAAGGCCACTCAACTGGAGTTGCTCTTCTAGACATAGAAAAAGCATTCGACAGTGTTTGGCATGAAGGTTTGATTGCTAAATTGAAAAAGTTTAATTTTCCACTTTACATTATGAAATTAATTCAAAATTATTTAACTGACAGAACTCTGCAGGTAAATTATCAAAATTCCAAATCTAATCGACTACCTGTTAGAGCAGGAGTTCCTCAGGGTAGCATTCTTGGGCTTATATTGTATAACATTTTCACTTCGGACCTCCCTGATTTGCCTCAGGGTTGCCACAAATCTTTGTTCGCTGATGACACAGGAATTTCCGCTAAAGGAAGAAGTCTTCGTGTTATTTGCAGCAGACTTCAGAAAAGTTTAGATATTTTCTCTTCTTATTTACAAAAATGGAAGATTTCTCCCAACGCTTCCAAAACTCAACTTATAATATTTCCACATAAGCCCAGGGCTTCCTTTTTGAAACCTAGTAGTAGTCACATAGTCACTATGAACGGAGTTCCAATTTCCTGGTCAAACCAAGTGAAATATCTTGGATTAATACTTGACCATAAATTAACTTTTAAAGATCACATTGAGGGCATTCAAGCCAAATGTAACAAATATATAAAATGTTTGTATCCTCTTATAAACAGGAAATCCAAACTTTGCCTGACGAATAAACTTCTAATATTTAAACAAGTTTTTAGACCGGCCATGCTTTACGCTGTGCCAATATGGTCTAGTTGTTGCACTACCAGGAAAAAAGCACTTCAAAGGATTCAGAACAAAATTCTGAAGATGATTTTGAAGTTGCCTCCCTGGTACAGTACTACCGAAGTACATAGAATTTCGAATGTTGAGACTTTAGCACAAATGTCCAACAAAATAATTAATAATTTCCGGCAAAAATCGTTACAATCCTCAATTGCAACGATTAATTCCCTTTATACTTAGATAAGATTTAGTTTTAGTTATTTAGTTTAAGCTATCAATTGTTATACTGACATGCAGGTTTAAAAAACCTGTTTAAAATACTGAATTGCCAAGACAGGAACAATGTAAAAACACTTAGATATATATCATAACAATTAAGGCTGGTAAGTTACTGTAGTAACTGGAGCACCTAGGTTAAAAATGAAATGTAATTTATTTTGAATTTTGAACAAATAAAGAGTTAAAAAAAAAAAAAAAAAAAAAAAAAAACGACAGATCATCCTTACCGAGAACTACTACTCATCGTATCGCTACTAAAAGGCCTCCAACAACATCGAAGGTTCGTCGGATGCATCCTGAAAAGGTAAAAGCTGCGAAGGAAGAATTCAGAGTCAGGTGAGATTTAGTCAGTCCTTTACACTGTGTGTCCAAAACAGAAGGTCAATGGCGTTTCTTTTGAGATTACCGCCGTTTGAATCAGGCAACGACATTAGATCGATACTCAGTCCCTCACATCCATGATTTGTTGAACTCGTTCCATAGTAAGTCCATGGGTTTCTTTAAGATAGGGTTTCTGATCTAATTGCCGTTCTACTAAGCACAACCCGCTCTTTACCTATCTTTTTCCAATGAAAAATGCAATGACTCTACAATAAATTAATTCTAATTTGTTTACCTTTCCACAGGTACCGTTAGCGGCGCCGGTGGTGTAGTGGTAAGCGTGATTACCTCTCACCCCAGCAGGCCTGGGTTCAATCCCAGTCGGCGTCGCCGGGATGTTCTGAGGCATAACATCTCTGATCACGGGGAAGTAAAGCCGTTGGTCCCCGGTTCATGAGTTGATGGGTCGATAGGTAGGGTCCAGGTGTGGGAGCTGCCTCCTTGGCGTCGGTAGCATTGGTGCTCAGCACGGAAAACAAGATTGACGGAAAACAAATCAAAGAAAAAAAAACAGGTATCGTTGGATTTAAAAAAAATAGTCAAATAGTTGCATCTGGATTCGAAATTTATCCTGAGAGTTTTAATTCTTTCCAAACGCATTGAAACGACATTAGGTTTTCTTCGTCCTACATATGAGGACAGAAAAAATGATTTTTGAGAACAATTGGTATATCCGGCGCCGATGATGTAGTGGTAAGCGTGACTGCTTTCTCACCCTAATGGGTCTGGGTTCATTCCCAGCCGAGGTCGGTGGGATTTTTCTGACGCATACGGTTACGGTACGGGATTTTTCTGACGCATACGTATACGGTTTCAAAAATAAATTTTCTTACGGTTTCTTACAAGGGAGGCGTTCAGAAATAACTTAAGAAACCACGAAGAATACCGAACATGTTAATGTTCAATGTTAGATCGTACTATGGGGGAGCATGGTCCCGAGGGGGACGACTCTATCTACGATGCAAAAAAGATTGTGTTTTGCTGTGGCTAGCTGCGCGCACGCTGAGTAGATAGAAAGAAGATTGATGACGATTTTGAAGATTTCCTGCAAAAAGATGATGCGCGATGCAAGTATATGCGAGAAATGAAAGAAGATTTTTCGAAGATTGATTCGCTAGTGTGAAATTTGTTGAGCATCTAGACTTGAGATTTTGATGTGTCGCCCCCCTCGCATGGTCCCTAGATTCATTATTATTCACCTCTGATCTATAATTCGCATTATCATTTTTCTGCAATGTTGTGAGCCTACATCGCCGAATGTGCCTGAATGATGATTTATGTTAGTATGGAAATTACGAAAATTATTCATGTATTTTTGCTGGAAATTGTTGGGACTGTGATTTGAGTAACAACGTGAAATTAATTATGTATTCAAATGGTACTTTATATTTGCTTCGCTTTCTCCTGGCAATATAATCTTTTGATGTTTTTTTTGTCTTGTGTATATATAAAAATAAAACCAATTCTTCCTATTTCGTTGATATTCCGAATTTACTCAATAGTTTGTTGTTGGTTGACTTAGCCTACCTTAGCCCTACAAAATACAATATCCGTATATGTTTTCTATTTTCCATTTTTACTCCGATCGACTTTCTTTCAATGCGCAAAATAGTAATCCATCCGTAAGTGGGCTTAGTTTCAAATCAGTAGTTATCAATCTCTTGTAATATCCAATCACTGTTGTTCCTTCAAGACTTCCTTGAGTGGAATTAAGTTCAGTAACATTGGTTTGGAGTGAGTTAACATTTCTCTCTCCATCAATTCCATATGCTAGCCTTCCTGAATTTGGCTTCTCTAGTTTACGTAGCATTGAATATGTAAATATGTATATATGTAGATATAGACACACAAATATCACATGTTTTACTCTCAGTTTTAACAAAAAAAATCATAGCTAATCTATTGCCTTGGATTTCCCTCTGTTTCAACAATGAAAATGCGGTGCGTGTCGTCCGCTTGGGGACGCGTTGCTCAGACTATACATGACTTATACAGATAGGATATAAAAATTGTTGAAAAAAAAAAAAGAAAAACCTACGTTAAACATTAATCACACTAGTTCTCTGCTGGACCGTTTGCTTACTACTAGGTGATGCCGCCGATGAGGTAAGAATGATTGCCGTATCGTCCACAGCCACCGCCGTCGAGGAACAGCTTGCGGACGCCTGCAGTAGCGACGACGATGTAGCACTGTTCGAAGCTTTAAAACTTAAAATTTCTTCATCTCCTGATAAAAGAGTATCAGATTCTGAGTCATTAGGTTTGGTTTTTTGTATCATTTTGTATTTTACCTGAAAAGGGTGAATCGCAATTTCAGTTTAATTGTGTCTGTCAAGTATTTTTTGCAGGTGTGGGAATGTTTGAGTAGTCGTTCGATTTACACAAGAATACTTGGACAACTTAATCGTAAAAAAAATAAATTTTCTAGAGGCGATTTACTGCTACAACGGATAACAAACGATAATAATTGTCACGTACAAAGTAAGAGAGGCAAACAAGAGAGGCATAGCTGGAATTTTCATAACTCATTGGTTTTTTGTTGAAAATGTCCTCTTACTTTTTGTAACAGGCTATGTTCCCTTCCGTGGTGATGTGAAGTACCTGTATTGCGCTTTTTCCTGATGTGCCTCATCAGGAAATTGTCCGTAACCCAGAAGATTAGAATCTAAAACATATCAGATACCAGTTATAAGTACATCACTTTTGAATATTAAAATAAACTTACATTGACGAAGAACGGAATAACCAGCATCACCACAGCCAGTTCGATTCGGGGATCCTTGAAGGGTGACAGGACAAAGTTTTTCACATTGTCCCAGATGTCGAGCTGAATGAACAGAGTCGTTATAAGTTTAACGATAGCCATCAGTCCTACGTAGATCCAGGTTTGATAAAGCCACGATTTTGGAGCTCCTACAAAATTTAAAAATATATTTAGTTATGTGAACATTTTCGATCATCAACAGTCTGTTCAGCTCATGTTTGCGACTACTAGAAAATTTTGGTTGTGTCATAACTTAGTCCAGTACTGTCACAATTAATTGTCGTTGACAAAGCATACGTATTATTTTTTAGGCAACAACATTTCCAGCAGATTTAGATTGAACAGGATAAGTAACATGGAGAAGAAGGATAAGTACGGCCTCGTAAGGAGAGAAGTAAGGGCGACGCGCTGAAGGTATACTGTGATCTAGGAGATGTATCAATGACAATCTGGATAAGGAAGGCGTACAGTGATGCGGAGACGGCGGCGATACGAATTTTGACGGCTGCTGCTAACAAGCTGTCGGAGACAGGCAAAGTTAAATTAGAGGGGTCAGTGTGCTCGTTGAAGGTTATCAAACAACTGAAGAGGTGCTTTAAACGCATGGGTTTCGGTCACCAGGCAAGAAACTGCAATGGCCAAGACAGATCACAGATGTGTAGAAGATGCGGTGAGAAGGGTCAAATCACAAGAGAGAGTAAGGTGCCGTTTAGGTGCATGCTCTGCAGATCAGAAGGCGGAAACGACCACATTACAGGAGGCTTGAAGAGACCAGCATTCCAAAACGCGATGGTGGACAGACAACTGTTGTGGCAATCCACAACATGAACAAAGTGTAACGTTGCAATCATTACGGAGCTGTACCGAATACCTCCCGACAACGGTAATTGAATGGCGGAAACAGGCGGGATCACTGCATGGGTAGAAACCGCATTTGGGTGTTTCATTGCCTCAAAATATGATTCATTACCTCAAAATATGAGTGTGAAAAAAATAGTACTCATTGATGAAGGTTTAAATGTCGTGCAAAGAAGTGGTTGCTAGCACGTACGAGGGTTTCGTGATCGCCAAAATCAACGTAATCTTCGCAGTCCGCATCGTGCTCTCTTGCCGTGCGGATCTATTTGCTTTTTGCTGAAGGAAGTGTTACTGCTACCTAAAGCTACAACAAATTTTACCAGCACTTTTCAGTGCTCAATATACCTGCAAATTGTCTACCTTGTTCGACTCTTATTGCTCTTCGATCCTTGTTTGGACCCTACCCGAGGTAATCCTGCTTGGGTATCGATTTGGAAAATTCCTCTTCGATCCTTCAGATTCCTCTAGTAATCTGCTTGGAAGTCGATTTGGATAAAAGTTTTACTGCCGCCATGGCGCAAAAGAAAATCTTGATCCCCTTCTGATGAAATTTATTTGAGCAATCAATTTTATTTGCTCACGAATGATGAGAATGATCCATCGTCCAGGAAAAATTATAGTACACTTTCCCGGCTTAATTCAAAGAAGGAAAAGATTCCCCCTAATGTGATAACCACTTCCGATTTCCATGCTCTTCGCATGGAACTTTAAACTTCGTGAAATTCAAGGTTTTACTGCAAATTGGCCGTCGGGATGAATGCCGTGTATTGGCTGAAACCTTGGATGGATTCAAAAGTCTTCTCAAGTATCTTACTGAGAAGCAGCATAATTTTATTACTTACGATACCAAAACCTCACCCAGTGCCGTAAGTGCCAGGTATGGGGTCACGGAACAAAAAAATGCTACATACCAACTAAATGCATGAATTGTGGTGATTCCTCTCACGCAAAGGACGACTGTGAACAAATTCTACATTCGTACCCGTAGGTACAAACATCAATTGCAACGATTAATTCCCTTTATACTTAGATAAGATTTAGTTTTAGTTTTTAGTTTTAAGATGTCAATTGTTATACTGACAGGCAGGCATGCTTGGCATACACAGTTTTGGTCACGAACTGCTCACTTGCTAATCACTTTGCACAGAGTTGACGAAACATAGTTCTTTTTGAAGCAGTAGATAGAATAGAGTTTAAGCTTGTTATAGATACGTAAAAAAAGTAGATTTTAATTCTAGTAATAAACTGTATTTGTTTTTGCGTTGTAAAAATTAAGTGAGAAATGCTCGCTGCACATCTCGGACTTTAAGAGTAAAAATTCATTGGTGTTGATTCATATGTTAAGATTTATCTACTTTTTGCATATCTATAGTAAGCTATGATCCTAATCTATCAATTACTTTAAAGAAAAACAAATTTCAACAACTGAGTGAAAAGTTATTAACAAATGAGCAGTTGGTGTGTACAACTTTGTATGCCAAGCATGCAGGCAGGTTTAAAAAAACTGTTTAAAATACTGAATTGCCAAGGCAGGAACAATGTAAAAACACTAAGATATATGTCGTAACAATTAAGGCTGGTAAGTTAATGTAGTAGCTGGAGCACCTAGGTTAAAATGTAATGTAATTTATTTTGAATTTGGAACAAAGAGTTTAAAAAAAAACGGAATCTTCGTATGTACTTGCTACGCAACAGATGCTGGATGACCTAGCCGAAGAGCTCATCGGACGAATACCGGTAGTTATCGGAAGAGATTTCAGTGCTTGGGCAGTGTAGTGGGGGAGCAAATGTACTAATGCAATAGGGTCCGCAGGTCGCTTTCCATCTGGTCGATCCACCTTTCCCACTGCGTGCCTATTTGTCTTGTCCCAGTTTGGTCGCTACCAAGAACCATTTTTACTGGGTTGGCTATCGTACGACATTCTTACGACGAGCCCAGCCTACCGTTGTCGCCTTATTTCTGCGGTGTGGACGATGGCTGGTTCTCCCAACACCTGGTGCAATTCGGTGTTCATTCGTCATCTCCACGTACAGTCTTCCATCTGCATTCTACCGTCAGGGTTAGTAACGGTCAGTTTGGTCAGTGACGTTTGACGAAAACAAAAAATAAATTGTCACGGTACAATAATTATCTTTTTCATACATCCTTCGTCAGTGACGAAGAGAGTCCGACAGTTATCACTAAAAAAAAACTATCGCATCTTTTACCTAAAATTCTCTTTCTTCTATCATGCAAGGACCAAAAATAGCTAAAACCGTCGAACGTACATGTCAGCAGACGAATGATAGTACTATGAGTGCTTCTTATTTTCCTTTAGCCTTTCCATTTTCCTAAGCATTGAAGGACCAGTGGTTCGAATCCGATTTCTACCCATTTATAGTTTTTTTTTAACATAATTTATTGCTTCCAACAATCATTATTATTTTTTGTCAAACAGCACGCAACCGCTGACTAAATCGTGCAGTTTTCAATCATCTCCGAGTAATCAACATACCTAAGACAGAGAGCACGTAGTGAGATAGTTTTTTTTCACGACGTAAATAAAAGAAGACTGTGTTCTTACGGAAATTGTCATGCGTTGTTTGGAGTGCGACGAAGATAGTAATACAATATTTCTCATCACCGACATTGCTCTCTCCACATTGATGCAAAACAGCCCCGTTAACCGTACCACGCAACACCTTCCGTTCGAAAACACCAGCAAACTGGAGTCAAGTAACAGCCGATGTCCAGTATAATAGTGGAACGAGGCACTCAGAACCCTCCGTGCAAGTTGTATCAGAACAAAGAAAAGAATTCAGAGAGCCAGAACAGAAGCCGACAGAGAAGAGCGGGAAGTAGTGCTTAGTGTTGCAAGAGCGGCACTGAAATACGATCACGCTGAGAAAGACAAATTGCTTCAAGGAGCTGTGCCATGACACCGATGCCAACCCCTGGGACATGCACACTGAATTGTGATGATGAAAATCAGAGGTCCAATGACGCTCCAAAACGTGCCCTAAGCTGAAAATTATTATTGAGGGACTCTTCTCGGAGTACTACCTAACGACCTTGACACCTACACAATACGGCGAGGCAGAGAAAGACAACGCTGAAGCAATACAAGTATCCAATGAGGATACTCGTAGCAGTGGATGGATGGAATCCCTAGCGTGGCTTTGGAAACGGCGATGCTGGCGACGGATGCTCCATCACCACTCATATTTTGGATTTCGTCATATTTTAAAACTCGGGGGTCACTATCGTGATCTTCCCTTGTCAGAACTCCTTTGAAATACTCACAAGAATTCCATCGGAATAGTTCTCAAAATTTGCATTCAAATCTTTTCAGAAATCCCTTTGATTTCTCCTCCTTGCCTTGGCATTCTATTTTCAACATTTTCCCAGTAACACCTGGTAGATAACCTTATCGTGGTGCGTTACTGTTATTAAGATCTACCATAGAAGCCTAGTCCAAACTACTTCAAACTAGGGGAACAGGATTGTTTTTGTAATCAAAGGAACATATCTTATGGCTTTTACTGTTATACCTTGTTGATAGTGACAAAACTCGACTTTGTCCACCGAGGAAGATCTTGAATCAAGGAAAAAAATAGCTAGGTAGTTATATTTCATCTACGTGATTCCTAATCTTTTATTCGCTGTTCTCTAGTTTGAAGTGGTTAAAACTAGGATTCTGATGCATGGTCATTATCGGTGTTATTGCTTGATTTTGTTGCGAAGGAATCAGTTTTTGACTGACAAAGGAGCGCGCCTTCGGAGGGTGTTCCAACACTCCGAAGGGCATAAAGAGCGGGGCCTTACAATTAGAGTCGGATCCTTGCGATAAGATAAAGACAATAATGACAACTGTATTAAAACCGAATACTTCATCATTTTTCAATAGTGATAGAGTAATACGACATGCACTAAAATAAGTACACGGGGTATACTACAATAGATCAAATAACTGGTAGCAGTGGATTTATGTCCCAAATAGAGGAAATAATTACAACCTTTAGATTCTCTTTAGAATTAAATTGAAATTCTCCTCACATATCCCGAGAATTCTCTTCAACATTTCCTTCGGATTTCTTTGGAAAATTTCCTTCTATTGATATTTAGTATTGCCGTAGAAATCTGTTCATAACTACCTAGGAATTCTTCCTGGAAATTGAAGTTCCTCAGAACTACATTGAAAGCAATCTTTAGTTTTTTCTCTTGAAATTTTCCTCACAATTCTCATGGAAATTATTTCTAGAGTTTCATGAAACTTCTCATCATTCATGATGTTCTGAAAGTTTTGCAAGATACCGTTAATTTTGTTTTTTTTTTTAATCTAGCGGCGGATCGATTCCCAGTTCAGTTGAAGATATTTTTTGGGTTGGAAAGAACACTATAATAAAAGCCGGTATGAAATTCCAGCCGGGCATGCACTCAACTATCGTACAAAATATAAAAAACAAAGACAATATTGACATTTTTTAAGCAATAGCTATTTAGATTAATTCGGGTTTAAATAAACAACTTGCTCAAGATAAGATAAGAAGAGAAAACAACACTGTGCATTGCAAGATACTGACCTCATAATCTAAGCGTAACTGACATGGCATGTATTTGTTTTGCTTTATTATAGAGAGTTTCAGCCTTTGGTTGGTTCGTCTCTTAAAACTTAGGATGATTCAAGTACATGACCATAGGTTGTTTTATGTTTCTGTTAATTATTTTAACTACGTTATTATAGTCACGTAGGTAAAAAAAAGTGCATAATGGCTCAATTTCAGCCATTTGAAAAATGATCGGATTTCATACAAAAACGAGCGTTTAAGGTGTTTTGCTGTGAGATCCTTATTCTCGTAACCACTTCGAAACTTTGACTGCACAAATATCAGCTTATACGATGCGTACCACAATGAAACTATTGTTCCACGTTTGCTGTACTGCAGCATACATGCAGTAGCAATTAACCACTTCATTCGAGCAGTTAAAATGACGTTTACTGCCACTCGAACTTTGAAATAAAACATTATTTTGAGATTTTTTCTTCTAGAACCACGAGAAAAGTAGCCAAAATTTATGCGTTTCATAAAAAAATAGAAATTAATTGGTCCAGTTTTGTGAAATAGCTGGTAGAAAGTCACGCCAAAACTGCTTGACAAAGTGGTCAATTTTAGGTTAAATGGGGCATTATTTTTCCGAGATCTGTGTAGGCCAGCGCCAGTGGTGTAGTGGTAAGCGTGACTGCTTTGTCACCCAATGAGTCTAGGTTCAATCCCAGCCGAGGTCGGTAGGATTTTTCTGAGGCATACAAATCTCTGGTCACACGTCTTCCTTCGGAAGGGAAGTAAAGCCGTTGGTCCCTACCCATGTGTGTTACGAATGGGTGCGATATCCTACGCAGGTGTGGAAGCTGCCTTCCTACACATTCGATTGCCATCAATAGATGTCCGTCGGTGATTGACACTAAATTGGGGAACAGAATAGTGGAAGTGGATGTATAGCCTACATGTGGTGGCCATTTGTGGACTTTTTTCACCCTTTTTACGATAGATAATAGGTAAAGGAACAGACGGAGACGTGATTTTTCCTATATGCTGCTGTCAAATAAAACATTGAAACTACCTAGTAAACGTACATTTTGAAAGCAGACATAATAGTAGACGTGTGCTCACACTCCTTTTCTCGATTTTGTTTTAACATCGACACGTAATTATCAATAAGCGAACAAAGGTAGTTATATTTGTCTAGCTATAATTAAACATCCCAACTTAGGTATCGAAATAAAATCTTCTATAGACGAAATCAATCATCGATGGTTGAATTCAAATTTGATAATTGAATGCGCATGCGTCTGCGACGAGTCATACCAAAAGGCAAAATTGAAACCAAACAACAGTGTATAAGTAAACGCTTTATACTAAACAGTAAACAGCTGACAAAGCACGAGATAAGTTGCGCACTGATAAAAATATGCAAACACACGATAAAAGCAACTCTTTAGCGCTTATCTATTAATAACTTACCATACTCGCCAAAGTTGATAGCATCCCATTTCTTCTTCCGCGCCAAATACTGACAGGTTTTAATCCCGATATAAATGATAAATAAGCCGATCGTGGAATCCAGTAGAAAGTTAATAATATACCTGAAATTAATGTTGCGGAGACCAACTTGTTTTTTTTTCGGAAATTTTTGTGTGGGCAATAACTTACCAGGTACAAGGATCCCCCTGGAAAAGTGGGGCCAGATAAACGTTTGTCATGTGAATCACCATGGCACCGATGCCTTGCTTCGATGTATCGTACCACCACGTTTCCCATGATCGCCTATTGTAGAGTGGCTCGCAGAACCTTTTTCCTGAAAGATAGAAGATAGATACCTCAATTTTAGTACTAAAGCATAGGACATTTAGAAATGGAACAAAGACAATTTCGGGTATTTCAGATTTACATACACAAATTTAAGAACAAATTGAAATTAAAAGTTGGATTTTACAAAACATATATATACATACAAGTTTAAATCAATTCTGACTATTTTATGCTGTGGATCGAACACCTATGCATGGGAAGGAGAGGGTTAAGTCACGGTATTACCAAGCCGGAAGCGGCGTATTCGATTCCCGATCCGGCCTAGACAATCTTTTGCGTTAGACAATTTTCTCGACTTCCCTGGACATAGCCTAAACAACCAACATGCATGTACATACAAGATTTTATGATATGCAAACATATATAGGGTAAAGTAGGTCATCTACATGATTTACTTTTTTATGTTTGTTTCTCAACATGCTGGTTTGAAAAAGCAAATCATCACTGCAACCCCAACATTGAACCTGTTGATATTCACTAACAAATAAATTAATAAATGTACCCATCTTTCCCCGTGACCCATCTTGCCCCACCTTACCCTATCTATAAAGAAATCGAACAGTGAACCACAGTCCAAAACGTTCACCATTTTTATTCTTTTTGAATTCACTAACTGCTCAATAATGAAAAAGGTGTGTATTAGTTTTACTTTATCATTTGCACAAATAAATACAATAGGGTCGAGGCTTTGTCACATTCTCCTCCATTTATAATTGCTTAGGGTAAATAAATGTGTTTTAGACATTTGTGAATGATTACATGGGTTTGGTACGTGACTAGAGCTTTTGCTACGCTCACTCGAATTTTCGCTCCACTATGAGCAATTTCATATCAAATCAAAAGGCCATAACATATCAAAAGGCCGATAATCGAAAATCATCTTCAAGAAAAACACTATCATGCCCTGAAATAAAATTACTCCCACACTTTAAAATTTATTCTCGGATTAAGATTTTGTTTTGAAGATTACATAAGAAAAATTTCAATATTTTGAGGCAAGGAACTTGGACTACGACAAAATTGTAGGACTCTGACCCTTCCAAAGCATTGGCATTAGGATGAGTAGAGCAGAAATGTAGAGGAATTCTAGGAATAATTATAAAAGGATTGCTGGGGAGATTTTCAATGGAATTTGACTTGAAATTTCAGGGTAGTTCTGAATATACTATTATGGGGATGAAGAATAGAATTCTAGGCAGCTGTAAAACAAATCGGAAGAAATTTCAAGGAGCATTCAAATTGAATTAGGAAGAGGATTCAAAGTGAATTGATCGTAAAGCAAACTTAACTGTCATAATACCGATCTTGCAAAATGCGTGTCGATTCTGTGACACAGCACGAGTGTCATGTTGTCGAAAAGCAAGTTTGTTTGTTTGAATCTAATTCTTGGAATAGTTCGAAAAATTCTTTGCAGAATTTTAAGAGAATTCATAAGAAATTTTAAGGCCCTGCGCTTCGGTCAGAGAGCGTATAGGGCGTCGTTGTGCCAATTTGGTCGTGGCACATTTCGAGTATGAGAGAGTGATTGCATTTAGATTAAAAGTGCCTGAGAAAAATGCAAGTACTTTCGCGGATTACCCGAAGTTGCGATAGTGAATGTATGATCACAGACAATCAGACATAACATGCTTAAGATGTTCATCTGAATCGCTTTTAACGACCAATTTAAATGTTTATTAGTTGATAGTATCGCCACTTATGGCGCACAAAATCAATTTCCTTGCATTTTACATCTGTTGAGTGTATTGCCCATCACAGTGTGTACGACAGATGGCGGTAGGGTTTACAATGAGAAATATTCTTGAAACTGATCCCTTTCGTATTTCTTTCATTCTCTTTTCGCACACGGAGCGCTCGGTGGACCAACGACTTTGGACGTGAGCCTCGTCCCAGATCAGCATGGCAATTCAGTGACAGATGGTGGACATGAAACCGACCACACCAACCAGCGAGGAAGGAGTCAACATCGAACAAGGAACGGAAATTAGTGCGGATTTATCTCCCTCAGAAAACAAGAAAACCCCGGAAAAGGCGGAATCATGTTAGAACCAACCAAGGACGATCTACGGAATGAAATTGCCGGTGAAGCACGGAATGAAATACGAAGTGTTAGAGAAGAAGTCCAAGGGATTCCAAAGGAAGCAATTAACGCCGGCGGAAGAGCAAAATATGGTGAGAGTTGTCCAACTTATTGTTTACAAGTTAAATGTCAAAATTAAACTAAATACATGCTAGGATTGAAAAGAATATTTTCCGAAGTGTGTATGTACACTGATGTCTTTTTTTCACGGTCACGGGTTTTTTTACGCGGTTTTTTTTTACACGATTTTTCGCGATTTACACGGTACGTTTTTAACGATTTCTCGACAACGATACACCCAATCGACTAGATTCCAATAACATTATCCGTTTCAAGCTATATGTAATCGAATGGCATACTTAAAAAAAATCACAATGTTTGGTGTAAATACAGAAATTTTTAAAATATGTCTATATGCTATAATTACAAATGGCATCAAAATACGATTTTTTTAAAATATTTGAGCATGCGAAAAAATGCGGTTTTTTTTTACACGGTACGTATCCCCCGTGTAATAAAAGACCTGACTGTATAACCAATATCCATTTGATAACGGTGATGCATACATGCGGGGATTATTGTGAGTGAAAGTAACCTCAGAATGGGCGGGACTCTCCAGACATTCTGAAATGGGTTGCTGGATCTGCAATAGAGCTATCAATGTAGAGTAAATTTCAAGTCTTTTTTTCTGGAGCGTTTATGGAGAATGTATGTATTCTCGATATTGGATAAAGTCATGAGATTTTTGAAGGGAATCTTGAAAGTAAAAGTAATTCGGCTGACATTTTAAAATCATTCGAAGAATATCCTTGAGAAATTTGCAAAATATTCTGTGATAAGTTCCAAAGAAATAAATCAGTTTAGCGTACAGAAATTCAAGATCCAGGATGAGCATGAGCATGAGCAGGAGCATTGTCGACCATACATTTCAGTAGTTGCTACTCCGTGATTGATCAGATTTAGCTAAATTTGCACAAAGAACCATATGAATGAGGTTTGGGATTAGCAATCCATTCTCAGTGTGCAAAATCCGGTGAATCCTTATTTTTGAGGTCAATAACGGCGCCGACCACGTCTTTATGTCACGGGAAGGACGATGTTGTTAGTAAGAAGGGTTAATTAGATCTGGATTCACATTGGAAAGTGATGCGATTTTTTAAAGCCTGATAAGCAAATGACGCGACCCCACGGTTAGCTAAATGCAAGAAATTGCGTCGTCTCAAAGGTCGTTCTGGAACATATATATTCAATTCAGAGAGAATATCTGGGGCGTCAATATCGTTGGTCAACACCTTAGCCACGAATACAGCTTGCATAGTCGATATTCTTTGTTCCAGGGTATCAATTCCCAGCAGCACACAGCGATGTTCATATGGAAGAAGATTCAGTGTGTCGTGCCAGGGTAAGTGTCGGAGGGCTAAGCGCACAACATTTTTCATTACATTTTTTTCAATACGGATGAAGGAATCCCATCAGGACCAGGTGAAACTGATTTTTTTTTTAACTTAGAGCATTTTGGACGTGCTCCTCGGTGATTTGAAAAATATCAAGTTCAAAGCTGTGAAACGGAGTATTACTGAGGGCAGCGTCGATCTGCGTTTGCGTGGTCAAATTCGAGAAGGCATTCTTGAAGTGATCGGCAAATAGCTCATACTAGACACTGAACTAGCAGAACGCCCATCAAAGTACATGGATGTTGGTAATCCATCTTCCTTACGTTTAGTACGAACAAACGACCAGAAATTTTTCGGATGCACACGCAAGTTCATTTGCGTTTGATCAATGTACCGAGCATACAGAATTCGATTGTACCGAGCATACTTGTTACTAGCAAGCACAAAGCGATGCTTCAACTGTTGAGACCTATTGCGACTATACTTCCGAAGCGCAGATCGGCGCTTCAATTGGCGAACACGGGCTTCAAAAACTTTTGCTCCACCTTCATATTTTGTTTGGTTTATTTATGGTTTGTTTTATCCTGGATAGCTTTTATCTCTTAAAAAATTCCAAAGAATTGGTAGAAATCAACACAACAAAGAAATACTTCTTAAAATAATTCCACGTATTGGTTTAGAAATTCCTAGCTTAAGGTTTTATTGCGTTCCAATAGTTTTGTAATTTTGTAAATGAATTATTAACATCGGAAATTTTTCACCGTTAAGTTATTTTAATATTTGATAGTTTTATTGATTTTTACCATTTTTTTTTTAAATTTTAAGAGAGATGATAGCTGTGCAAAGCTGAATAAAAGTGAAATTAACCCTTTGTTTGTACAAAATTAAAAAAACTTACATTGTTTGTACCCTGGGGTTAATTTAACCCAAACTCAAATTACCGTATCGCCACGATGTTTCAATGGGTTTTTGAAATTTCAAATGTTTTGCAAAGTAAATTAAATTAAAACTATTCATTGTAAAAATGTACGCATGAAATGGGATACTTCGATGATAGAGATGTTTATACCACGAGATCATCACCATGTACGAATTACTTCCTTCAGCAAACATGTTCAGGAATACAAGATACCACTTTTTTGTTTGAATAGCGTTATCTTATAGTATGATTATGATGTGATGATAATTGTCTACCACTCATTGTAGCACGGAAACTAAGTCCGATAGCAGTGGGCTCTCCTCACTACATATTTGATTTGATCAAGTTGAATAATCTCTTATTGTCCTCAACATGTCACTGTATGAAGGGTTAAACACGGGTTGGATGGATCGATTGAGAAAGTCACATATACGCCTCCACGAAAAAGTAAAGAATCAATCTTCTTCCAGCAGCAATTGGTCAAAAAATAAGCCGTCAATGAGTATGGAGCAGAGCTCGCCCTGCTCCGAGCACAGCACACTTTGATCTCAGTTAGTGTTAACTTACAGTGCACTAAATTTACTTTGCAAAAC